TGTTTGCACCAACACCCTCCTTATCATGTTCATGACTCAAAGTAGGATGGTCCTCGACCCTTGAACCACCAATCGCGCATTTCAATGCGTGATGGCCCAAGAAGCCAAAGCATGCAATTCAATATTAGAATGAAATGCATACAAACAAACAAGGGACCCAACCTCAATTATGGTTAATCAAAAGGCAAGGCATGCATGCCGAATGCAACCTAAGCATGTGAGCTAAGTATGCAACATGAGCATTGGCGCAAGCAATGTATACTAGGCACACAACCTAAGCTAACAAGCATGCAAGGCACAGAACCAAGCCCAAGGACTTAAACTATGGTCATGTGACACATGAAGCAAATGACCAAAGTGAAACAAAACAGCCCCAAATCATGCCAAAACAAGGTCAAAGACACACCTAGATGGCATCTAAATGGCCTAATTCTAAAGGCATGCAAAAGGGGCCAAACATGGAGTATAAGACACCAACCTCTTAAAGCATTAAAGGAGCATCAAATGCAAGCATACAAGCATGGAGCAAGGGCTGAAATATCATAACTAATGGTGCCAAACCACTGAAATGATGCAAATAGAGCATGGTAGAGGAGCCAACACTCAAAGCATACAAGCTAGATGGTAGCTATACAGAGAAAGTTCAATGGATGACCCAAACAATCCAATAATTTAGACCTAAAAGCCAAAATCATGCTAGAAACAAGGCTCAAAGCACAAAGCATGTTAAGGCAATTTCATGGCATTACAAGACAAGTATGCTAAGCATGCATGGTGTGTCTAAACCAAACTTAAAACAGTGCTATATCATGGCAAAATAAGCACAAATAACACTTAAGACATGGCCAACATGAACTCAAGAATGGTGCTCACACATGAGGCTAAAATGGCACATTTTGAAGACAATAAGGAGAGGGGATGGCCCTCTCCTTCTTAGGACCTTAAAGCACCACCCCCACCACTGAAATCCCTCAAGATTTCAGTGGTGAGGAGGCCCAAACAAGGTGGTCCCGGAGCTCACCAAAATAGCACAAAATGGGGGCCAAACAAGGCCTTAGAGGGGTTAAACAACTCCAAACAACAAAGTGACCTTAAACAACTATTTAAAGCACTCAAAAACAAGAATTTTTTTAGTTTATTGTAAAGCCCAAAATAGCATGCAAGATAGGCTAAAAGCTTGTGCAAGAAAGGGGGATTTAAGGCTTAGAAACTCACCCTTGAAAACCTTCTTCAAAACCAGCACTCCAGCAGATTTTTCTGTGTTAAAACCAAGTCTTGAGTCCCAAAAAGACCCTCCAAGAACCTTAGATGAGTGGTGGAGGTGTGTGCTTAGGAGTTGTGGTGCAAAGGGGTTAAGAACCAAGCACTTTGGAGGCTTAGATGTAGAGATATCAAGAGAGATATATGTTTTTATCTTAGAAAAAAGTGTTGGAACCCTTGCAATGGAAGAGGAGGTCTTCTTTTATAGAGGAAGAAGGGTCTAAGCTTCTCTTAGAAGCTAGGAGCAAAAGGGCCAAGAAGGCCAAGCTTCTTAGAGAAGCTAGACAAAAAGGCCAAGCTTCTTGGAGAAGCTAGGCAAAAGATTCAAAAGGTTCAAGCTTCCTCAAGAAGCTAAAACCAAGTGTTCAAAAGGTTCAAGCTTCCCCAAGAAGCCAAAACCAAAGGTTCAAAGGGTTCAAACCCCCTCAAGAAAAGGTCTCAGCCAGAAAAAGTGGGGGATTGACCAAAATCAGTCGCCGGCCGACCAAACACAATGCCGACCGACCATCAATAGTGCCGACCGGCCATCACCAATGGCCGGCAGCAAGGAAACAAGGCCGGTGGCCTCAAGCCATGGCCGGTGAGGTGTGGGGATGGCCTACAAGCTATTTCCCACCCTCAGAAGCAAAACAACAAGTGTTTGATGCAAAACCAAACACAAAACAAACAAGTCGAGAGGTCTTGAGGTAAGGCGCGTAGCCGAAACCTCCGAGAACTCAAGACGAACACAAACAAGGGTAATCATCGAGTGTTCAAACGATGACGTCCAAGTCTTAAAGACGGTCAAAAATGGGGTGTCTATAATTGGCTCAATTTTGGAGATCGTAATTCTGCTTTCTTTCATGCTACAATCAATCAACAACGCCAACGGAACCAAATCTTGCAACTGAAATGTGATAATGGCAACCTACTGAGTTCAGAGTCAAGCATTAATTCTCACATGTTTACTTATTTCTCGATTTTTTTTTCCAATAGTGATAGACGTGAGATGGATGAAGCTCTTGTTGTGGTTCACAGAGTTATATTAGATGACATGAATACAATGTTGATTCGAGATGTGTTAGATGAGGAGATTAAAACAATAGCTTTTCAGCTCGGTTCATTGAAAGCTCCTGGACTGGATGGTTTCCCAGGGTACTTTTATCACCACCATTGGGATATTGTGGGGCCCTCTTTGTGCTCTGCGGTGAAGAGTTTCTTTCGGAGGGCTTTTTGTTGAAGGAACTAAATCACACGAACTTGGTACTCATTCCCAAAGTGCCAGCACCGAAAACGTTAGCGCAGTTTAGACCAATAAGCTTATGCAACTTTAACATGAAAGTGATCACCAAAATTCTTGCCAACCGGCTGAAGGGGATTCTAAGTGCTGTGGTCTCGCAAAATCAATCAACTTTTGTGGGGGGAAGACTGATCCAAGACAACATCATTGTGGCTCATGAGGCTTTCCATGTAATGAAACTTCGAAAAGGGAAGATGGAGGATGTAGCGATTAAAGTGGATTTCAACAAAGCTTATGATCGTGTGGATTGGAATTTCCTAAAGGCCTTGTTGGTAAAGATGGGATTTCATTCTCAATGGATTCAATGGGTGATGGAATGCATCACCACAGTTTCTTTTTCAGTATTCGTTAATGGAGCCAAACAGACTAGTTTAAACCTCTATGGGGTCTTCGTCAAGGGGTCCCTCTCTCTCCATATCTATTTATCCTTGTCATGGATGTGTTTTCGAAATTGATTGATCATAGTGTTCACAATGAAAGATTGACCGGGTTGCGAATTCGACGGGGTTGTCCATCGTTGTCACACTTGTTCTTTGTGGATGATGCGGTGCTTTTTGTCAAGGCCAACAGGGCGGAGTGTCTTGAAATCTGCAGATTGATACAAATTGATAGCCAAGCTTCAGGGCAATCGGTTAACTTTGATAAGTCGGGAGTGTAATTCTTAGGTAATATCTCTAACTCTCGATAGATGGAGGTGTGTGGTTTGCTTGGTATTCCGCGGATACACGCTAATGCAAGATACTTGGGCCTGCCGTTGTGTTGGGGTCGCTCTAAGGCTGAAGCTTATAATTTTTTGTGCGAGAAAGTGTTGTCCAAATTGCAAGGATGGAAGGCAAAGTTGATTTTCCAAGCAGGTCGGGAAGTCCTCATTAAATTGGTCGCCCAGGCAATGCCCACTTATGTTATGGCTTGTTTCTTGTTCCCCAACAAGCTGTGTGATAAATTGAGCTCCTATATTAGGAATTTCTGGTGGAAAGGTGATCCGGAGGGGAGAGGTATATATTAGGCCAACTGGAATAAACTGTGCTTGACGAAAAGAAATGGTGGTTTGGGCTTCCGAGACTTTCGGGCTTTTAATAGAACTCTTCTCACTCGTCAAGGTTGGTGATTAATTAAATTACCGGATTCCTTATTTGCAAAAATTATAAAAGGCATATACTACCCCAACTCGAATTTTTGTCATGCCACACGAGGGGCGTGACCTTCATGGGCTTGGCTCAGCTTACTTCGGGGAAGAGACATTCTTACAGGAGGCTTACGGTGGCAGAATCTGAATGGTAAATCTATCAATTCCTGAGATGACCAATGGATACCATCTAATCCAGGCTTTCGTGTTCAATCAGTGAGGCACGGTGGGGTTTTGGTGCAAAAGGTCAATGAGGTCATTAATTCTTCACGTAAGCTGTGGGATGAAAGGAAGCTTCGAAGCCTAGTGTCTGAAGCGGATTGCGATGCTATACTATCTCTTCCAGTTTCAGTTGAGGATAAGGATGATATTCTACTATGGCACCATGATTTAAAAAGCTGTTATACGGTTAAGTCGGGGTATCATGAAGCAGTGAAACAAGCGCACTTGGGTTCTAATCTACCATCTTCTTCTATGAGTTGGTCTAAGAAATAATGGATGTTTTTATGGAATCTGAATTTACCCTCTAAACTCAAGCACTTTGTCTGGAAAATCTATCATAATGCTCTGGCCACTTGTTAGAATCTTTTTGCTAAACGGTGTGCCACTACAGCCTGCTGCCTTGTGTGTTTGACAACAACTGAATGTATTGAGCACCTTTTGTTTGACTATGAATGGTCTAAGAGAGTTTGGTTTGGGTGTAATCTTGGTCTTCGATGCAACGATCCTGGCAGGCTTTTGGTTAGAGATTGGTTTGGAAAATGTTTTACATCTTTGGGGGTTTCTAGTTGGGGGAAGTCAGTGATTTGTTCCATGGTTTGGGTGGCTTGGACCGTATGGAAAGGTCGGAATGATCATCTATTCAACCACTGCTTAGTTGATCTAGCAGGGGTGATAGCGAAGGCCAAGCGCGATGAAGCTGAATTCTTGGCCACCTGCACAGTGACAACAACCCCTTCGATTGCAGTAACGAGTGTGAACAACAGAGGGTCTACATGGGTTTCTCCTTTACGAGGAAAGTGGAAATTCAATTGCGACGCAACCGTTGACTTGAAGCAAGGAACTGGTGCAGTAGCAATCTTTCTCCGGGACCAGATGGGCCTACTGGTGGATGGCATGGTTTGCAAGATTCGAGTGAGGTCAGTTGCTCAAGGAGAATTGTTGGCAGTTCGGTACACTTGTCTTATGGCCGTTGCACTCAACCTTGCTGGAGTGGAAATGGAAAGTGACTATAAATTCATGATTCACCTCTGTGTATCTGAAGGAGTCCCTCCGTAAGAGCTTCTTGCTATGCTGAGTGACGTTAGATCGATGGCCACGAGCCGACAACTAAAATTTCTTTGGTGTCCGAAAATTGGCAATAGGACAGCCCATTGGGTTGCTTTTGCTTGTTTTCGCAATTCTACCCGTTGATTGGGTTGTCCAACCACCTATGAGTTTTGTTAGGTGCTTATCTTCCTATTCTATGTAGTTGTTGTGACGTTTTTCTCGATAATAAAATAAAAAATAAAAAGTAAAAAAGTTGTAATTGTGCAAGCCGAATTGACCATCTATTTGTCGTTGTTGCCGGGAAGTGGAGAACAGTTCCTTGTCAAGTTGTTTGTAACCGATTAACAAACAAAACACAAAAACAAAAGCACAAACACAAACAGAAAAACAAACAAACTACCCCCCCTTTCTACGCTTTCTAGTAGTCGTCGACCAACTTTTTTAAAATGACGGCGATACAAGCCAAGTCCATTCCTCCTCCTGCTCCCTCGTCGCTCTCAGAATCCATTCTCTTTTTGTTCCATTCTCTCTTCCTCTTCAAGCCTCCCTCTCTTCTTTCCCTCTCTTAAATCCTCCTCATTCACTCCCTCAATCTCCAACCTGTTCACACTCTCTGTCTCTCTTTCTCTCTCCATTGTAGTCTGCAATGCGTGGATTAGAGCTCTGGTTCAATGAGTTGATTGCATCGGAATCGCACGATCTTCGATTCACCAACGATTCCACTACGATCTGCTTCGCCAGCGGAGGTTTGTTCCTCGATTCGACTCTTCCTTCTAACTTCCTCTCCTTTGTTTCGACGAAGACCTCTTCGAATGCTTTGTCCTGTTTTCGGCGGACTCGCCGGCGGCCGATCGGAGGGTTTTTGTCGGTGAGCTTGACGATTAAGGGAAGTGAGGTAGGGTTTGGCCAGGAATCGACCGAGATTTTGGGGCAAAATGGAGAGAAGAGTGAGGAGGAGGAGGAGGAGGAGGAGGCGGTGGTGTTGGAGGAGGTTAGGAAGGAGGAGAAGTTGCGGCGAGGAGGAGGAGGAGGAGGTGCTATGAATACCACCAAGCACCTATGGGCTGGTGCTGTTGCTGCTATGGTTTCAAGGTTCATTTTCATTGTTCTTATGCTATTTTTGCATATTTGATCTGAAAAATCTTAGAAAAAGACAGATATTTTATTCAGAGTGCCTTATTTAGCATCAGATTGGGTAAAAAAGTGTTTTGAAATTTCTAAAAATTAAAAAAAAAATGTTTCCTTTTTATTTTTCTTTTTTCTGTGTTTATGTCTTGCTTTGTTACTGTTACGATATAGAAGCTTTTTGGTTCTTTTTCGTTTTCTTTTCTTTGTAAAATAGACTGAAAACTAGTTTTTGGCAGTGTATTTTTTCCTTTTCTTGTTTTCTTTCTTTCTTTTTTAATGAATAATTTTATTATTTAATATTCCTAAAAATGCCTGCTTGCTAACTAATCCCTTGTAGATCAAGCCTGTTCAAAACGTCTTTTTTTTGAAGTTGCATCATAGAAGAGAATTGAGGAATCACTTGCCAAATGCAATTCCTGATCATAGAGCACTAAATTTCGTTGTAGAATTAGGAGACAAGTTGTTCTGCCTTTAATTTTATAAGTAGTGAAGGAACCCTTGAATCTGTGGCAGAGCCAATAAATTAATCTAGGGGGACAATAATTGGTGAAGGTGGTTCAGCTTGCCTTAATTAACTCCTATGGCCCTGAATCACTCATAATTAGTGGTAGAACTAGGATTTGTGTTTCAGTGTTACTGCTTATCTCCCAGTCATGTTTGTACTTCTTAATAAATCTTCACAACCGCTTACCCGTGCCCCATACAGCAAACAACCTTTTTCATAGAGAAAATTAAGATTACATTACCAACAACATTGTGGCTTATGCCGCTACTATGATGGACACATTTTTATATCTTTGTGGATGACTGTTTGTTCTTCTAGGTAAAGCTATATGGCATATTTAATTGTCATCAACAAAAAATAGCTTCAGCACAGGACATTCCAGAGTACATCTCTGTTACATTGGTGCTAATGCAACTAAAGAGGGCATTTCACTGTTCAGTAAAATAATTTGATTTATTTAAGAATGGTAAGGGATTATTACAAGCATCTTAGATACTTAAGCGCCTTAAGAAAGAAGTTTTCATAAATGTATTCATATACTCTTAATACAAACTATATGTTATGATGATCGTAATACCTGCAAAAAGGTGGATTGCTGCTCTGTTATTTTTTTTTGTTTTCGACTTTGCATTTCATGAACTAGTTTACAGTACAAATAGTACTCCTTAGTCTTGGAATCCATGTTGACATCATACTCATATGCATTTTTTTGTTGTATTAGAACTTTTGTTGCCCCACTTGAGAGACTAAAGTTGGAATATATGGTTCGTGGTGAGCAGAAGAATCTTTTTGAGCTAATCAAGGCCATTGCAGCTTCTCAAGGTCTGAAAGGGTTTTGGAAAGGAAATTTTGTCAATATTCTCCGCACGGCTCCTTTTAAGGCTATCAACTTTTATGCTTATGATACGTATAGAAATCAACTGCTCAGGATGTCCGGGAATGAGGAAACAACCAATTTTGAAAGGTTCCTTGCTGGTGCTGCAGCTGGAATTACAGCTACTGTGCTTTGCATACCTATGGACACGGTATGTGGTGATTTGAACTTTGTTATTTTGGTTTCTTGTTGCAGTGAGATTCATTTTTCTAGTTGAGCATCTTGGAGTATCTATTCATTTTCCATTTCCATTGCATAGTCCTCATATATTCTCTTGTTATGTAATAGGAAACATGCAAAGTTAGATTGCACAAAAATAGCACATGTACCTTTGGTTGTCCTGTTTATCTAGTGTGCACAAAGGGGACTACCCACCGTTGCATGAGTCAAACATGGAGAAACTTTATGATCTAAAACAATTCATTTACCATAGAAAATCTTGTTGCAATTAGTATTGTTCTTGTCAGAGACCAGTCTTGTTTCTGACAATCATTTTGAAAATTCAATTGTATGATTGAGGTTATACCTGGCATGCATACAAGATCAAACATACAAATCTTTGCTATTTGTAGTATTGAAACTGTTATTGGCTTTTTAGCCTGGATTAGGAGGTTTTGGGGACCTGTAAAGAATATATGTAGTTTATCTCTATCTGGGAGCCCATCTTTGGCCTCAGTCACCATCTGATCTTTCTGAGATGAATTTGCCCCTGATTTATGTCTTAAACCCTGTGGTTTTGCTTCACTAAAGATTAGTAAATTGGATTTGGCATGGCCTTTTTTATCATAATCATTTTGGTGGCATGAATACATCTGTGTTTGTAGGAATTTGGATAGTATATGGTTTCTTCTTCTTGGTCATTTAAGTTCTTATTGAAATTTTTAAAGCAGTCCCATTTATGTTACACAATTCTAAAAATATGGTGACATGACATGACTAACTTTCGTGTTCAAGAGCTGGGGTTGAATGTAGGGTTGGTTTGTTTAGGCCCAGTCATATTCAGTTACATTCGAACATATTGGGTATGTTTGGTTTGTGTTTGAGAGATGTGTTTTAGAGATAAAAAGTACGAAAAGTTGTTTGGTTTGGTTTTTTTCAAAAGATGTTTTGGAAAATTATTTTGAGAGAGAGTTTTGGAAAAAGTGATTGATTTGATGTGTGTGTGAGAGAGATTTGTTTAGAAAACTTGTTTGGTTTACAAGTTTTGAGAAATTTTTTTGAAAAAATTGGTTTGGTTTGATTACTTTTAAAAACTTATTTGTAGAGAAAATTTCCCAAAATTTTTTCAGAAATACAAACCAAACGAACCCATTGCCTTGTGCACATTCTAAGGCCGTAATATGAACATGAAAGACATTTGAATGTTTTTTTTTTTTTTTTTGTCAATTGGACATCCATATGGATTTTAAGAATCTTAAACATAAAATCATCTCTATCTTTTGGACTTCATATAGTAGTTAAGCTATTTTCTGAATTAAGCACTTGGTGCTTTTGTTGGCCATTGATTTAAAAACAAGCCATAAGTGGTTGAGCACAGGGAAATTTCAAGCAGTTTCCCATTATTATTAATTGGCTATTACTACTGTGTTTGTAAGGCTTTGTAGGCAAATTTTTATCTGAGTTACACCTCAACATGCTAAATGTTTCAGATCAGGACAAAGATGGTAGCACCTGGTGGGGAAGCATTGGGTGGTGTGATTGGTGCTTTCCGCTACATGATCCAAAATGAAGGGTTTTTTTCTCTTTACAAGGGCTTAGTGCCCTCAATTATAAGCATGGCACCTTCAGGTGCTGTCTTTTACGGTGTTTATGATATATTGAAGTCAGCTTATCTGCATTCACCAGAAGGAAGGAAAAGAATTCAACACATGAAAGAACAAGTAGGGGAACTTAATGCTTTTGAACAACTGGAGTTGGGTACTGTTAGAACATTAATATATGGGGCAATTGCTGGTGCTTGTTCTGAAGCTGCTACATACCCATTTGAAGTTGTGAGGAGACAGCTTCAGATGCAAGCCCGGGAAACGAAGATGAGTGCACTGGCAACTTGTGTGAAGTTGGTTGACCAAGGTGGTGTTCCTGCTCTGTATGCAGGACTAATTCCTAGCTTATTGCAGGTATGACATAGATTTTTGTGTCAAGTGAACTTCTATATTATTACATGCAGGGGTTTTAGGTTTTTATTATCATTGGAAGCCCTGGGAATGAAACTGTAGAATGATGATTTATGGCTCTGTTTGGAACGATTCTCAAAATTGTTTTCTACGCTTGAGTTCGCGCGCGGTGTTTGGATAGAGTTGTGGAATTAATTTTCCACAACTCTGCAGAAAACTCTGTCAAACAGAGCACTATTTTCAAAAAAAAATTCCAAATTTGGCCTAACTGGTCGTCCGGCCAGTTGACCGGAACAGTGATTTTTTTTTTTATGTGTGCAATTGATATGTTAATTTTTATATATTCGAAAAAAATATTTTTTGAATTTTTAAAAAAAATTTATGTGCTTTAAAATAATTTTGAGTTGTATGTTTGGCTATGAGTTGTAAATTTTTATATCAAATGTCACATCAACAATTCCCCACTCAATTCAAAACTCTTTACCAAACAAATTTTCCACACTCAAATCATAATTTCAAACCTCACAAACTCAAAATACAACTCATACTCTCAAATTATAGTTACAAAGCTCTACCAAACGCAACCAATGTTTCTCTTGCAGGAATAGGTATGCATTTGAAAACTTCTTGAACATAATTTTAGAATAAATTTTCTCATTAGTTGAAATTTTAAAATACTTGGATTTTAAGAGTTTAATATGAAAACCACCTATTCCGTATGGTGCTGTACAAAGTTTTTAAAGTGATATATCCTTCATATACTTCTGTTGATAGGCTTCGCTAACCCATTTAGACGTACACCTTTTGTAAGGAAAAAAATTGTCTTGAATCATATACCTCAATTGAAAAGTAAAGGCCTGGAAATGAACACTGGTTCAAGTAACAAGATTTAGTTTGAGATGCATTTGCAAGTTGTGTAAGAAATAATGTATAGAGAAAGAGAGAGAATAAATTGTATGTATTATTATTGATTGATATATTGATTTATATTACAATGATTCATGATTCCTATATATAGAAGAGGGTGAGTGTGTAGTAGGTAAGGAGTAGGTGAAGTGGAGGTGGTAGTGGTGTAGTGGTTTAGTGGAGTAGGTTTAAGTGGGTTAGGTTTAGTGGAGTAGGTGAGGTGGTAGTGGTGTAGTGGGTTAGGTTTAGTGGAGTAGGTTTAAGTGGGTGAAGTAGGTGGAGAGTAGGTGGATTTTAACAAGTTGCATAGACAGGATGATGTAGAACAGAGAGAGAGAAGAAGATAGAAAGGGAAGAGAGGAAAAACACAAAGGCCACAACCCTAATCACACAAATGAAGGATTCATGTAGCCGACCCAATTGATGGGAGTTAAGGCTTGGTTTGGTTTGATAAGACTCCTAATTAAACTATAATTAAAAATAAATAAATAAATTTAATATTATAATATTAAAAACAATATTATAAAATTGTAAATAAATTTCATCAAATTGTGCTATATTTTAATCATTACTAACCTTTCTTTTCTTTAATTTCATAAAAAAAGCAAAAAAAAAAATAAAAATAAAAAATAGAAACTAAAAAGGCAATTGCTGAACTCCACCTTAACATGAATCAAATAACTACTTCGAAATAACAAAATCATAATATCTCATGTTAGCTTGAGAGGCAGCTTTGAGTGAAAACTGCAAGGGTTTGAAATGTGGTGCCCCCAGATGGAAGATTTGCATTGCCCTTACTCGAGATGCTAAGCACTGGAGTAAGCAAGCATTTGAAGGAATGAACAATAGCAAGCTGCGGGTTAGGAAATCTCCCTCCAACTCCCTTGTATTTGATTTGATTATTGCCACCATGTAGTGCAGCAGGCATTTTCTCCGTAACATCTCTCTTGAAAAAGTGCCTAGGCTATTCTCTCTTGTTATTGGGATTTACGCTCTATGAGACTGAAAATTGGCTTATACTGGTAAGTGCTATCAAATATGAAGCCACATATTAGAAAGAGTATTGAAAAGTTTTCAGATCTTCCTTGTACTTTTGGTGAAATCAAATGGACATCAAGTCCTTGGATAATGTTTCCTGTACAAAGTACTTTTCACCCTTAAAGGGAACAAGATATGAGGAGTTATGTGGCACATGAACTTTTGACAAGTAGGCGAAATCTGCTATTATTTTCATGGTCTAGGTTTGAGCATCAGTATCTATGCCATATCCCAAGTTTTAAGCAACTTCATTTATACTTAACGGCCTATAGTTTCCTAAAGAACAGCAAAGTAAAATGATGAAATTGAAATAATTTTGTTCCTGAAACAGGTGAACTTGCCTTTACATATACAACAACATTTGAGTAACAAAAATGATTTGTTAAGTTATTTTGTTATAGTTTTATTGTTTATGTGAAAATGTGTTTTATTGAAAATTACCATGGCGTGAGTTCCTTGATGAGATGATTTTGACCATGCACCACAATTTTATTTAACACTTGATGTTTGCCACGATTTAACTGCTTCAAAGTTCTAACATTCCGTGCTCCTTTGGTTTTGCTTCTTCAGGTTCTACCATCAGCTGCTATAAGTTACTTCGTGTACGAGTTCATGAAAATAGTTCTCAAGGTGGAGTCAACATAAATTTAGCTAGTGCTACACCGGGAGACACTTGCGTAAGTTAATGTCGATCATGTGGTTGCGTTATTTTTCTCAAGGAGCACCTGATTTTTGTGTGTTTTCCCCCTGAATTTACTCAATAATGCTTTTTGTGGGCTTTAGTGAGGCAAACATGAATATTTGGTTCATACATCTTTTCACACAGATTCAAAGCAATTTTACGAGGAACTGAGATGAAAATTATCTCACTTTCAACTTTTTTTAATGTAGCATAGAATATCAGATGGCCTGAATTGGATCATCTATTTTTAGTTATTGTGCAATGCTCAAGGTTAATGCAAACTTCTTTGACCTTATGTTATATGATAATGAGACTATGTCAGACACTCGACACTTGAACAAGAGTATGGAAATATATGTTGACATGCTTAGTTGAACACGCAACCAGTGATTTACTATTTAACTATGTTTAAAACTTCCATTTAATGCATAAAATGCTCTATTGTTAGTTTATAAACTCTATTTTATCCTTTAATAGAAAAGTAGAATAAGTTCTTAAGAAATATAAAAGCTAGTCGTGTTCTAGTATATCTTTGGTCTATGGATTAGGACTCAGGTGGAGTATCAAGTGTGGGTATGCGTCCAAGTGTTAGATTTATCTAATTCTCATGTCCCACACTTAACACTCCACCCGAGTCCTAATCCATAGACCAATTAGAAAAAGAAGAAAAAAAAGGAAAGTGCACTAATATTAGAAAGCATAAATCACAAAATGAAGCTGATGATCTATTTTAGAATGGAATAATCAGGTGATTGACCAAAGAGACATATTAAAAAGGAGAAATTCAGCTCTAGATTTGGAACAACTAAAAAGAGGTTTGAGTCATTTTTCCATACTAGTGGTTCATATAAAGTATGAGAATTGGTATTAACATGGGGACAAGGAGAAGGGGTGACATTTAACAAGAAGAAACCTTATTATGTTGGTGACCTAGCTTGTAATGCCACAACCTGTGATTTGTTCTTGTGCCAAGATTCGTAGGAGAATGAAGCAAGTTGTTGCTGAAACACATGCTCTTGTGGTGTGAAGACGATGGAGACACCATTGTTACTCAGGCCTCTGTAGAGGATTTTTCCCCCGAGGGTATGTCCTGGATAATGAATTGATTAGCATCAAAATAGAAAAAGAATAATCGATGTTTGCATAATTTGTGAACTGCAAGAAGACTTGAAGAAATTTTAGGCACGTAAAGCAAATTGATGTGCTTGAAGGAAATGTCATGAACTTTTTCTTCAATAAACAATGCTTCAGAATGTGAAAGTGCATGTAGATCATCAAAAGAGATTGGTTCTTGCTAGTCCTGATTGCATTTCTGAAAGCATGGAATTCACTGGGAAGACCTTTGAGAGCAATATGTAAAAAGTTCTTCATCACTGATAAACACTGATATCATTGATACATCAACATGCTTGTACATGATCTCTGTGGTTTTTTTTTTTTTTTTTGCAAATAAGCCTCTATAGGATCATTCTCCTTTCAGATATCGGGCCTATTTAGTGTAACTTATTTTAAGTTAAAAACTAACAATAAAAAATAGGGACCAAAAGCATCCCTCAACTTTTAGAAAATCATTTTTGTGTATGTTATTTTTGTTTAATAATTGTAAGTAGAAGTTGCACTAAATAACTTGACACAAGACTTTTAAAATAAAAATAAAAAAGCTATAAGCAGCTCAAATAAACTATACCAAATAATCCGACTATGTAGTTCAGGCTTGGGATTCAAGATGTTAGTTCTTGGGATGGAGGTGAATCGTTTCTCCAAAACACTCCAAACTCCATGAGTTGAAGTTTGTCCAACCACTAAGGCTAAGGCTGAAGGTGAGAGTGTTGGATTGTTGGTGAGGGAAGAATCTAAGTTGGGGGAAATTAACGAGGTTAGCTTGTTTGTATAGCTTAAAATTGAATAATATATATATATATATATTTCTAACGAAGAAGATAAATTACACTTTTTGCTCTCAAACTTTAGCTTGAATTTCACTTTGGTCTGTTGCTTTTAATTGCAACAATTAAGTTCTCATATTTCAAATCATGTTTTAATGTTGATCCTCTCATCATTCCACCATTTAAAATCTATGTAAAATTTGAAATATGATGAATCAAAGTAAAATTTATGTGACAGTTAAAATAAAAATTGTAATTTTTTATAATTCTTTTTCTCTAATTCTTCTTAAAATACTTATTTTTATTCAATTTTTAACAATGAGTGACAAGAAGACCACTTTGAAATACAAGTCTAGTCAAACGACTTCATCATTACTTTTAGAAGATGAGGGATTAAAATTAAATTTAAGAGAAAGTTTAGGAGGAAAAGATATATTTTATTCCAAAACAAAAAGAAAAACATTGTGCAAAAGTTCTAGGACCATATTTGTTTGATGAATTAGATTGGATGGAATTATTAGTGAGAAGATGATTAGTGAATGTGCAAATTGTTAGTGAGGGGATTAAACAAAAATGTGTTTGTTATGATGATATTATGGGAGATGATTAGTAATAGAATTATTAAATTATTTTTATACAAAATAAATAAATAAATAAATTATTTCTATATTAAAAAAAAAACAGAAAACAAATATTAAAATAAATAGGTGCACTTGGTAAAAAAAAAATAAATAAATAAATAAATTTTTTATATAAGATAAACTCAATCTGCTCACTATTTTCTAATCCCATCCAAAATCCAACTAAGCTAATCCCTTACTGAGGGGATTACTAAGCCGCTTGGACTATTACTCCTCCCTCCCAAATCATTACTAAACAAGCTATGGGTGTGATAGCACTCCAATCTCCTCTCCTACGCCAGTAAACAAACATGGCGTTAACGAACCCCTTTACTCTCCCTCTCATCCAATTAAATTCTCAAACCCTAATCAACACTCTCATCTTACACACACACACATATATATATATATGTAGAAGTGTATAGAAATGTGTTAATGTGTAAGAACATGTAAAATGTGCACTAAAATTATAACTATTTTGATATTATTTGCTCCTTCACGACAGTCCACAAGGCTATAATTAGCATGAGATTCATAATATGATATAATATTTTTTTTAGAATTTTTTTCTGTTTGAACAAATAATTCACAATTTTTTTTTTTTCTGTCAATCCATAAATCAACACAATTTGACAAACTCAGAACATTTATAATCAAGTTTTTGGTGAGATTCCACCCCAGATCTCAACTAACCTTATCCCAAATCTAGGTGAACTTCTGCAGATTGGCCTACACTGTAAAGCCATTTATAGAAAGGTTAAATGACGGGCTACCTAAGAAAACAGTGGTTGCAACATCCTTGGTTGTTTGAGATGCACTTTTTGCCTTTTTAGACTAAAAAGTTGAGGGAAAAAAGATGATTGTTTGGGATAATTTTTTGACTTTTTACAAAAAAATATGTATTAAAAAATTGGATAAATTAGTGTATAGAAGAAATTTAGGATAGAATAGGCAATTCGGTAGATGTCCTAGCTGGCAATGTGTGCAGAGTAGTGTATAGAAAATGGTTGCTTCCTTATCGGGTATTGAATTCGACGGTGTTGTTCGGCCCATGGGGGCTCACCACGGGTCCTGTTTTGCTAATCGGAACTGTTCAATGTATAGAACTCGTCGAGTACTATATTCTTGTAAAAAATCACATTGTTCAGACATCGATAGCTATCTGATCGGATTAATTTTTTTTCAACTGTTAACTATAACACCATCTATTTTTTATACAAAACTGATTTGATCATATAGTTAGCGATATCCGATACTCGACGATTTTTACACATTAATCGATTCAGATTATCAAAACAGAACCAGTGACGGACCCCTACAGGCCGAACAACACCGTCTTGTTTGCTTCTCCGCCTGTTCCTTTTATACAAATGGTGGGCAACTAAAGTATAACTCACGTGACATGTGAGTTGTACTTTTTTTATTATAAGATTATTATTATTATTATTATTATTATTATTTTATTTTTATTTTTTTATAAATAGTGATAACTTTTTAATTTTTTTAATAATTTTTTAACTTTTTGAGAAGATGTCAAACTTGGCCTAAATATTTTTTTGGTTGCCAATTCATTTTAGAAATCCCTTTCATATTTGAAATATCTCCTTTCAAATATTTTAGTTCTTTGGTTTTTAGTTGCTAAAAGTAAATTTTTGGTAATCAAATTTTTGATCGTTAAAAATAAAAAATAAATTTTTATTTTTCATTTGATGACTAAATAATTTTAGTAGTCAAAACTAATTATCCAACGACTAAATATTTTTTAGTCACTAAAAATAAATAAAAAGTAAATTTTTATTTTTCATTCGATGACCATATAATTTTAGTAGCCAAATTAACTATACAATGACTAAAACATTTTTTAATCATTGAAAATAAATATTTGGAGACCAAATTTTTTGTTGCCAAAGATAAAAAGTAAATTTTTGTTTTTATTTGGCAACTAAATAATTTTAATAGCCAAAACTAACTATACAACAACTAAAATACTTTTTCAGTTGCCAATTGTGGCATTTTTAGCGACTAAATTTCTTTTAGTCGCCAATAATCAATATATCCCGAGTAAAAAAAATTAGTAGCTAAATATTGTACTTTTACTAACTAATATAATTTTTGGTAGTCAATTCCACAACTTTTGGCGACTAAATTTTTTTTAGTCGCCAAATTTAGTCGTCAAAAGTGTAATTTGTTGTAGTGATTATACAAACTATAAAGATTCAAAACCACTAGGATTACCGCTAGGAGGGTACCTATTTGGCCCTCCGGGAGGACCACGAGGCTTTCCGTAGTGGTGGTGACTAGGTCCAGCTGACACTGGAGCCTGGGAATTGTTCATGGGATTAGGCCCGGACCAATGCTGAGGATGAGTTTGCCCTGTTTGTTGGATTGGAGGCAGACGAGCATGTTGTTGTGGGTGCTGCAATTTCTGTCTCTTTGCCATCTCTTCATTTTGTCGCTGCTGTTGCCTTTTTTTCTTTGTCTGGAACTCGTGTGATGATTCATATTTAGGCAAACTATGCAATCAAAGAACAGGAAAGATTAATTTAATATAAACAAAACCGAGACACCTTTATTTGACAAGCAGAGATCAGTCAAAATATTAATAGAGAGGCTTCAGGAAACCTCAATTTGAGGTGTAAACATATGACATGCAGAAGGTTTGGCACACTATGACTGAATTTTCCAAGTCTCGTTGAAGGTATATGATTATTACCAAATCTTTTCCTTAGTACAATGAATCAGTAAGTAAAATTCATGCAGCATAGCTACAAAGAAAGATGTGAGACATACCTTCTAGGATCGCAAGGTAAGGGGTCAGTCCAAAAATATTCAGCATCAAGGGCATCCTTTGCAGATATTCTCTGCATGAAATGGAAAAAGGGAGAAGGAAAAAAAAAATTCAAGGAATTGAAAGTTGTAGAACAAAAATGAAAAATATATACATAGAACTGCACCAAATCTGATAATCTGTGCTTATATGTTCATGGCCTTTCTAATCGAGTTTTTGGAAACAGGATTGCAAAATGCAGTCACCAAAACAATCCATATGCTACCAAAAATCAACAATCTCTGAAGATACACAGATGAAACCATCATGATCCTCAACTGTATATAAAAATGTGTCATTAATTAGATGATTCGGGATGAATGTGCTTTGATGGGATATTGGAATCAGACTATTTTCAGATTCTGCAAGCCACCTCAATTATTAAATTATAAGCTCAGAAGGATTTTACAATGAAGCGGTGGAATGTATCATTTCCCCAAATTATACTCGCAAAAAAATAATGATCCTCCTGGTCCTTCCAAAGCCCAACTTTGTTTGATATGCCTTCATTTCAAAGCAACTAGCTAATCCTTTCTCTGTCAAGAAGAACTCTCTAGCCAGTTGTAGCAATTAGGCATAATAGCAATGGGGCATGGAAAAACCCTTGGAAATTTTGTCATCCTTCAAAGGTTCCTCAAACACCTACCAAAGGGAATTGATTCTTTCCAGGTAAAAAGAAAGGAGCCGAATAACAATTTATTGATTTAGATACAACATAAATGTTCACTCTCATGAAACCCAAGAGTAGTCCAAGCAAAAATAGATCATAGAATTTGATAACAGTCGGTTGTTATCTTAAGGAGATGAATGTAACCAACACTAGGTTCATAATTGAAATCATCCAAGAGGAATAAACCGTACTTTCCTTCTCCAAATGGGAAATTCAAATTTATATACATACATATATATAAGTCCATTGCAAAGAATCAAGGTCTATTTGATTGTGCTTTCATCCAAGAGAGCATAAGTACTTCATAGAATTGCCTAATAAATATAATAATAGAGAATCTAGCTTGTCCAGACAGTTTCTGGTACAATGGGGAAATTCCAGACAGGTTCTGTGAATCATACAAATATGAAGACCAAAGTGCTCAACTAGAAAGAAAAAAAATAAAAATAAAAATAAAAAAAGAAGCCCCAATCATCCAACAGTATGTTCCATTGATTGCGTCTGTCCTTTTTTATTTTATAATTGTTCCTATGCACGTGCTAAAATATTTGTATAATGACTAAATAAAGCTTCAACCGTTCACCAATTCACATTCACATTACAACAGCTGTACAGGCCACATGGACCAATGGGTCTCTCAACATTTATGTTAGGGGCTCAAGTCCCCTTATCTTGACTAGCAAAAAGGATAAAGAAATAAATAAATCATACACACCTTACAGTGAAGTGATGTCAATAATTGATATAGTCTTAATTGTGGTCTTAATTTTGTACTTTGATTACTTAACCCAACCAACATGTCTTTGTTCAAATTGGACTAAACAAAGCATTGGGGGCTTGGGGGTGTCAATTGTTTGTTTTGTTTGGTTCCATGTATACCAAAAATGACAACCTATTTTAAACTTTGTTTCTGCTTCCTACAAATTTTAAACTTAGTTGCATGAAGCAGGGGCATAGAAGAGTCTAAGATTGGATGCGCCTAAGAGAGCATTTACATATTTTATAAATAAATATTTAATAAGAAATATTTTTGTTGCTTAGTTGTAATGTGTCTACATTATACTAATTTATCAACCCAAAAAAAATGTCTACATTATACTAGCACTTCAACTGTTAAATATAAGTATGGTAAATACTCATTATAATCATTGCACAAGTAGCAATTTAACACCAACAACATATATCTCTACTCCTCAACGCTCACAAACCAAAATTGAAAATTCCATCAAAAAATGCCCATCCTTCTTTTATTTCCTTGAAATTCATATGTTTGAGTGGTCCTATCCTAGTCTCAACCTCAATTCCATCTCAGCAATATTCTTACACTGAATCGCGGAGTCATGGTTCTAGAGCAGAAACTCACCCCCAACAGGAGTTTCTTGCAACTAAGGTTTTAAATCCTGTTTTATAGAGCACTATAAATGGCCAATACCTTGGATACATGGTTGCTTAACCAACAAGATCTAAACTTTTAATTCAATTTTTATTTTATTTGTATACATGTAAATTTTTTATTTATTTTATGAAGAAACAATTAGGGCATGAAAAGCATCCAAAATCATTATGTTCTATTTAAGTTAATGAAATATATATTTAATGTACTTAATCACAAAGTCAGTCAAAAAATGGATCTTGGTTTTATTTGTTAAAAGATTGAATTTTGGTAGACCTATAACAACTAATAAAGGGTTAGCATTTTCTCCACACCCTTTTTGCAATAAGTCAAAACTCAGATTTATATTGTCATTTTCCAAACTAATAAAGTAAGTCAATTTATTGACATTGTAGTGTCAGTTTCTCCAAACTAATGAAGTAAAAAAAATCATCATTTAGTTTGTCAATAAACTAATCATTTTAGTCTGAAATTTATAGACAAACTAAAATCCTTCCACTCCCTGCTGCTTGACCTAAAACAAACAAACAAATTTTGGTACATCACATTATCGCATAATTGTGTTCACTGGCACACCTAAATAAAAATGCTATGGCTGTGAAGTGTCTGATAGTCTATAATAACAAGTTCACTAAGCCTGAGATTTATGTGTACCTGAGATGGATCAAGGGTTAGCATTTTCTCTAGTAAATCCAGCGCATGACGGTCAAAACTGCAAAGCAATATAAGAATTATGGATATCAAACTTCTTGCACTAAAATGGACACCAAAAAATCCAAGTCTAACTAACAACTTCAGTTTGTATACTTACTGTCTAAAAACCTCCCTCACTCGCCTCTTCATCGGCCTTGTTGGCTTGAACTTGTTATACCAGGGAATCTTGGAAACCCCAGGCCAAATAATCTCATCTGGAGATCCACACAGCTCAAATATCTTGTTCAATTGTTCAGGCTGTAGTAAATATTCAACAAATAGAACACTGCATTAATTATACATAATCTAGATGAAACTTAAATTCTATGTGAAAAGAAATAATAGCAATAAGACCATGAATAAAATATAGAACAAGTGGACAAATTATTTTTAATTTTTTATTAAGTAAAATCTAATTTTGGTTTCATCTATTGTAAAATAACAAAATTAATGCTGCAATCAATTTTGAAAATTAATTTATGACAAGGTTGTGATAGTTAATCATAAGGTCAAGCATAATACACCACAATACAGTTATGAATTTTTCATCTTCAACACAGGTGATTACAAACTAAACCATTAAAGTCTTTCATCTTGGTGGGGTTGCAATATTTTATCGGGGCTTTAAAAATATGTCAAATAATAAAGATTTCTTTCATCACTAGGCCAATGAATGTAGATATAGATCTTCTACAGGAAACTAAGGTGGCAAGGATAATTAGGGTACAATAAATGCGTCTGCATTAAATAATCTGAAACTACATAATTTTTATTGGCACTTAAGATGCACAAAAACTAAAGAACAAACACAATTCCAACATAAATGTCCGAAAAAATAAACCTGACATAAAAATGATCAAGAAAAGGCCAGACGTGGTAGTACTTAAATTGAAGGATATAGCAAGCATTTGCATCCATTCAGATAACCAATTACACTTTATGCCAATCATAAATTGTAAAAAAATAATGATGATAAAAAATCGTAAGACTTAAACTGAATATCATATAGAACAATACATAAAAATTCATGGCAAATGTCTAACCTCATTTTTCCCAGGCAAGATTGGTTTTCCATGCAAAAGCTCAGCAACAATACATCCAACTGACCACATATCAACAGCTGGGCCATACTTTGTGGCTCCAAGCAGCAACTCTGGAGGTCTGCTCAAATCATATTATTTTATCAGCAACGTTCTTAAAAAGTCAGATTAATCACAAGGAATTCCACTCACTTGACCAATTGAGCCAATTACAGTGTAATATTTACTTACCTGTACCACAAAGTAATAACACGATTTGTAAGATTTGCATTGTGGTCATTGGAAAATGACCGTGCTAGCCCAAAATCTGCAAGCTTGAGATTTCCCTCATTATCTATCAGAAGATTAGAACCTGCGAGAATAGGTGCTGAACAGGTATAGCTCCAATTGCAGAGAAAAAATATCAGATCCAATGTGAAATAAGGTTCAATTTTGGCAGTAACCTTTTATGTCCCGGTGAAGTACTTGATTGACATGACAGTAATGAAGCCCGGTCAGTAGTTGCCTCATATAACACTGAAGAAATATTGTGGCAAACTGTTAAGTTTGAGCTGTTCTTTGCTATATATACATGTAAATATACATAAACATATTTATAGCAAAATATTTTCAAACAATTTGAGTGCCTAATACCTTAATCTGGGGAATTGTAAATCTCAGTCCAGGACGATCAGCAAGACCAGTCAAGTCATGATCCATGTACTCAAAAACCATATAAATGTTGCAATTGAACTTATTACCATCTGTATTAACAAAAACAGCAACTGGTAAGCAGGATGCTCAGAAATTAGAAGTACCCGTATAATCGGATATAAACAAGAATCAACCTAAGAAAATAGCATAAGATTAAATTGTGTGCAAAAAGTCTATTCACCTGGTTTCCCTTGCCCATCCACCTCAGGACCTTAAAGAGAGATCAAAATATTTAAATATAAGGAACACAATGGGGTAACACCGTTTAAATTTAAAAGGAATATTTAACTCTAAGAATCTGGAGAACAAATTACCTTGTGAGGTCACAATCTCTTTCAGCTTAATGATATTTTCATGGTGCAGCTTTTTTAGGATTTTAATCTCCCGGATAGCAGTTATAGGAAACTGCAGAAACAAGGTAAGATGCCAGACCATTTATCACAAAGGTGTACTTTTTTCTTCTAGGTTCTACTACAGCAAATGTTACACATTTGAAACTATACCATACTGTAAAAGCTTATAATAGATGAAACCAACATGAAATCTAAAGAAATGAAGAATACCCCTTCTTTTTCATTGTCCATGCGAATCTTTTTCAAAGCGACAATTTCCCCTGTTCTAATTTCTCTGGCCATGTATACTTGACTGGGGAAAAGAAAAGTAAAAGAAACCACAAAGAAACAGAAAAGTAAATACCCAGAAATTGAGTAATTGCACTAGAATGTTGTTCACCAATGTCCACAAACAAAACTAAAAGAATTCGCATAATATGCTGGTAGGAGATAGTCACAAGCCCTTATTAGAAAAGACGAGAGCAAGAGAGAGAGAGAGAGAGAGGATTGTAAAAAAAAAAAAAACAGATACTTTCTACAAGGGGTAGCTTACTCCTTTCAATTATATTTCATGAATACTACTTCAATGCATCATAAATTTCCATGACTGCAGCGCAGTAAAATTGTAGACTAAAGACTGCTAATGCTACACATATATAATAACACTCCGTAAAATGTAGTCATTAGCAGGGATTTAACAGTAAGTCATATAAAGCGTCATTTTTCCCATACAATAACCATCACTGTCCCATAAAACTATGTGAGTTCAGGAAAATAAACCATGGTCTGCATGCTAGAACATCTAGCCTAAATCTTTTTCAACAAATTCCTTTTATGGACTATTTGTCTTTTTCATCCTGAACCTGCAGCATCTTTCTTATCTCTTGCCAAAATTCCCACTGTTATCCTCTATGAGTCCGAACCTTTTCAATTCTTGTTTTATGATATCTACATTTTATAATCTTCCCATTTATCAATCTTAACGTCATCAGGACTGTTACTATGTAATGTAGTAGAATAAATAGATTAGGTATATGTTAAATAGCCTATTAGTTGTAGTCTATAAATAGGAGATGTAATACCCATTTGTACTTGTTTTTGAAATAAGAATATACATTAATTTTGGAGTAGAGCTTGGTTTCTCTCTCTAGCCCTCGGGGGTTTTACCCCTAATTGGGGCATTTGTTTTCTCTCTCTCTATTTGATTCTTGATTTGCATTTGGTTTGTATCATTTGGTATCAGAGCCTCAAGTTTATTGTTCCTAATTCATGTTCTAAATGCATGAATTGTGAGAGAGATACGTACCTAAAATTTGAAACCCTAATTCGTAGCCATTCTCGATTTTGATACGAAGCCCCAATCTCTTCATGTCTTTGTTTGGTTACCAAGTGACTTAGCAATTTGGATTGGCAAGAACCACGAATTACAATCACGATCACAGTTGTGTGAGAAGCCATGACGAAGCAGTAGTGGAAATCCCGTCGAACTCAAGACATAGAATTGAAGCTCGTGGTTCGCAAATCTGTCTCAAATCGTGAAGGTGTTCTCAGCTCGCAATCGCAAAAGTATTCTTGATTCGAATTCGCGAGTGAATCGCAACTTGGGGTTGAATTGATTTCGAAAGTTGTCCTACGTGATTTCTGGGTGCTCGATTAAAAATTTTCAGTTCTCAGTTCACAATCCCCATTCAACTTGCAATCTGGTTTGATTACGACATGTATTTGCCTTTGTGATTAAGATTCGACTTGCAATTCTTCGAAGTTGGGATTCTCACGGTCGAATTCAGAGCCTAGATTCGAACCAAGTCCAAGTCCTAGTCAAGATCCAATTTCGATTCGTCACAGTCGCAAATCAAAGTTGCTGTTCACATTGCGATTTCAAAATCATAGAACACATCGATTCGAAGTTTGTTGGACTTTCACAATCGCGACCTGGTACATTTGATTTGAGTTCGAGACCAGTTGATTTCGTGTGCTGAGTTTCAACGTGGTTTGCTGCTCACGCCTTACAATCGAAGTCTGGATTTCTTGCTATCTGCAAATTGTGATTTCCAACTAGTGTTTGCAACTGAAAGTCAACTTGATCTAGCAATCTGCAAAGTAAACCTTGATTATCTAGCAACCTGGGTTGAACAAACCTTGTTCTTGGGCTCGACTGACTAAAAGCAACGTGTGGGTACGTGATTTGACTTCTCCTTTTCCAGTTTCTTGCTTCGAGTCGATTTCAGTAACAAGGGAAACCATTATGTTCAGTTCTTGAGATGGTTGTATTGACTTTTGTTCCGGAATTGGTCCTAGATTGATGTTGTGGGAAATCTAGCCTTTGATTTTGATCTTGCATGTGCAATTATACCTAGAATTTCTTTTAACTGCTGAATTCCATTTCTTGCTCTGGGTAGTCATATTGTGTGGTTTCACTGTGTTGTGACCTAGCATACTTATTGAATTGTGTTGCTTTGCTAGATTGGGTTGTTTGTGTCAATGGCTAATTGGGGTCATGGTCGAAGAGGTGGCCAAAGTAGAGCTTATGCTGCGAATTTGGGTGAAGGTACTATGATGAATATCTCAATTGGAAGGGGTATGATGCTAATCCAAATCAAACTCATAATCAAAGAGATGAGTTGAAGCAAATGAGTGGATGACTTGTCGCATCACAAGCCGCCACTGAAATTTTTGAAAGCTTCAAAGATATTATTTGAAGTTTATCGTTAGGACTCTTTCATACCTCTTTACAAAATTGTTTTTAGTTGAGTAGGTTGCTTCTTGTGTGCTCAGTTCACATTTTGTGCCAAGGGAGGAAAGACAGAACGCGTGCAATGCCAAATTCCAACTCGTGATAAGTTGTTCTCATATATTTTGCCTATTGGATGCATCGTCCATCCTCTTATTGTGTCACTGTTTCTCAAGTTTGCTTTGGAAGATGTCATTTGCCAGGCCATTGATCTCATTGAGATAGAATGAGTACTCTTCTGCACAAGTATGCAGGTTAGAGGTGAACAGGTTTGGACGTGGGGGTCTATCCAAGTTTTAACGAGAGAGTATGGACACACCTATGGTTGTTGAGCCAAGGATGCAAGGATGAAGTTCGATATAATCGCAAATGGCTAAGTTGTGAGAATTGGGCGAGGAAAAGCAAAACCTATCCCTCATCTATGGTTACATGAATAGTGTTACATTGAGTTTACTTAGTTGCTACTTAAACTTGAGGACAAGTTTCTTAAAGAGGGAGAGTATAATGTAGTAGAATAAATAAATTAGGTGCAATTAGGTGCATGTTAAATAGCCTACTAGTTGTAGTCTATAAATAGGAGATGTAATACCCATTTGCACTTAGTTTTTGGAATAAGAATATACATTAAGGTTGGAGTAGAGCTTGGTTTCTCTCTCTCTAACCCTCAGGGGTTTTACCCCTAATTGGGGCATTTGTTTTCTCTCTCTCTATTTGATTCTTGATTTGTATTTGTTTTGTATCACTATGTTAGCTCGTTTTAGATGCATTTCCATTTTGGCCTTTTTTTCCCCCTTCAATGGTCAACTTTGTCTCTTTGTTTAGTTACATTTATGGAATCTTTGGTAGAGAAGCTTATCGATTAGTTTAGCTAGTCTTCGCCTTCGTTCGCCCCTCCCCTCTAATTGCAATGCATGCGAGTAAGGATAAGGGCAAATGGGGATCTCATATGGAGCCTACTTATGATATCATGCAATGCTATTGAATTAATTTTAAGTCTTTATTTGTATCTATTTAAATTAACTATAAGTTGTTGGCAAATGTAATGTGTGTCATAGACTCAATATTATATTTTTTGTTTTGTCCAAACCCAATGAAAGGACCTGAGTACTGCCCATGCCCCTATTTCTTCTCCCACTACTCATTTGTATCGGTTTGCCAAGAGGTGAGAGGAACAGTTATTTGATCAGGGATAGTTTAGGTATGTAAAAAGTGCTGCACAACTTCAAAAGTGTTCACACCAAATAGCTGTTGACATTATATAATAGTATAGATAGATGTGCTCCTTTCAGCATTTACTCATAAGTAGATTTTCACACTCATGATTTGTCAGACATTGGCAATAGTATGAGTCTGTCGGTCATATTGTTGCTCCTATTTTGTTGTCATCATATGGTCATTTTATGTCACATATTCAGTTACTAAAATTTCTTAGTTTCCTATTTTGAAGTCTCAGTCCTACTAAACTAAGAAAAGTGAACATAGTGTTCATCTCTTTACTCCATGGAGTTAAGTTGATGAAAATAACTTGTCAAAAACAATGATGAAAATTAGAGATTGCTCAGTTAACCCTCGTGATAATGTAGCCATTTAGAATATTTTTCTTCATCTCTTCTTTTTCTCCACTCTTTCAATAAATAGTCGGGCTATATTCCCAGTTACTATTTGAACAACCCATATTAGAGACCTCAAAAGCCAAAACCTTTCTTATTGAGTCATAATGTACCCTAATCCTTTACTTTACCATATAGTATTTAATGGCCAAAATCTATAATGGGCTGCCGTCAGAACTTTCAGCACCTCATTTCACAAAATTCAGCAACCTGTCATCTCAAAAACGAAGCCAATTTTAGTGCCCATCTATTCAGAACCCTACAAACTTTCCTCCACCTTCTAAGACTCTTAGCCTGCAACTATGACTATTTGTAGTTAGAATCCACTACAAATTACAAAACCTATTGTAGGTAAAATGGTTCCATGTTTCCTAAAGCTATCCTACAAAACCTCCTCCCCCACACGTTCTTCTTTCTTCCCAAATTTGTTAATGAACGGGGGAGGGAGACCAATCACCTAAGCACCATCTATAAATATAATTATTTAAATTTGTAAATAATTTCTTTTATAAACAGCCACATCTAACAAAATGCCAAGCAAGGTTCTAGATACCGGTCAATATGTAGGATTTTCAGCCTCCCAATGCCAACACACCCCAATATACCGATGGGAATGAAATTTGATTACGTATCAACTGATTTCTGATTCATATTGATTCATGACCCAGTTCACAATTGATATAGCCAGCTCACAGTAGATACATCCGGTTAGGTTGCTATAAAACTCTTTTCCGCACCTCATGATTTAAAAAAAATCACAATTGCGTCACCTGATTCCCGATACGTATTGCTCATACTCCCAATATTGCTACCCTAAGATCAATAACGATTTGTCTCCCAATACTCTATTTAAAATCTTGGTGTCAAATCTTTTCTTCTCAACATAAAATATTGTTCAATCCCTCGTTTAGTAAGAAAACAAAAACCATCACTTATGGTACGCTAACAATCAATACAAAAGACCATCCAAACAAAATTGAAACTTATATTCAGCAAGGGAAATCCTTCAATGCTCCTAGCTAGAACTTTTTTTTTTTTTAAAAAAATGTGATAGGAGAGAGAGAACAAAAAACTTGAAAAAAGTGGGATAGAATTGTTATTACATAATCAAACCAAATGAATAAAACTTGATAGATACGATTATCACGAAGTAGAAAAAGGTGAATAAATGCTTGCAGCCAGTGACAAAGCTATGTTATGGCCCAATGGGGCCATCGTGTTTTCAAGAAACCCTATATATAGGACATTACACAAAAAAGTTCATTAGATGTCTTGCATTCCACCCCCCACCCCCAAAGAAAAAAAGGAAACTCTAATAAGAGATTTTACCAAAAATAAAGTCATATGGCTCAACCAAAAAAATGAAAAATAAAGAAGTGGTACAGTGGGCCGATAAAAAAGAAAAGGTAGCACAATGCTCGAATTATATATATATACAATCTTTTCGAAGACATCTTGCTAATGAGTGGGAAAGAGGCAAATCATCTGAGCATCATCTATAAACATAATGATTCAATCATACACAAACTTGTCTGACATTGTGTCAAGCCTCTTTTGTTTAAGATGAATATTGTTCAATCCCTTGTTTAGTAAGAACACAAAACCATCACTTGTATTCAGCAACAGAAACGTGCAATGTTCCTGGTTTGGACTAATCAACAAAAACAAGAGAATATGAAAAACAAATGGGTATAATTGTCAATCAAACTAAATGAATGAACACATCAACGTGAAGAATTCCTTACAGCCAAGGACGAAGCCACATTGCGGCCCCAGGGGGCCATGCTGCCCCTTATATTTTCAAGAAACCCTAAATATAATTATATATATATATGTAGGACAGTATTGACTATACAAAAGAGTTCAATTAGGTGTGATGCATTGGCTCCCTCAAAACTTTGACAAAAGATTTTACCAATAATAAAATCGAGCCGCTCAACCAAAAATGAAGAAAGAAGTGGTATAGCCCAAATTCCACATTTTCTTTTCAAGGGTTATTCCTATCTTACTTCTTGTGTTCTTGTTTAGCACTATTAGACTATAAACCCCAGATTGAAGCTCATGTAAGATCAAGGGTGTAGTAAGAATAGTAATGGCTACACCACTGTTTGGAGTAAAATCATGTCCACATCCCAAAGTACAGCCATGTAACATTTGTAATCAACGCAAAAGAGATCTTCAATTACATCGTACAAACAATAGGTTGAACCAAACTATATTCAGAACACAACACTGGATTATGGTATCAGAAAATTCATCGGTAAAAGACCCAAAAGTGAAATCGCTTGATTGATTAACCTAAATGCAAAAATTTCTTGAAGAAATTGAAAGACAACGAATGTACCAAAAAAAAAAGAGAGAGATTGGATATCAGAGTACAGACCCGTAGGTTCCTTCACCAATTTGTTCCAATTTCTCGAAGCAGTCTACGGTACGAGAACCCCATGACGGTAACTCGTCCACATTGAGCTGACCATAGGCCGCCACGGCCATCTGCTTCTGTCTCTTTCGATATGTATCTATATCCCTTTCTCTCTCTCTCTATGAAAATCAGATATATATATATATATATATAGAGAGAGAGAGAGAGAGAGAGAGAGAGAGAGAGTTGGGAGGGAGGGACTCAATTCAAAATGGGGGTACAGTGACTGGAAGGAAGGAAGGAAAGAAGGAACAATGTATATCCTCTCTCTCTATATATATACAGGTGAATGGTGAATGGTGAATGGTGAATGGCGTGGCGGCAGACATTCTCTTTCCTTCTGTATAAACAGCCAGCACTGCTTCCCTAATCTGCCGTTCCATTTCCTGCCAAGGTCGTGGGGGTGCGATTCGGACTATTCGAGGATAAAATTATAAATTGGATGGCGAATTAGTAAATTGACATATTGACAAATTGTGATTTGTGTTATTTTAGGTGGAGTGAAAAGTATTTTAATTAATTATTAAACATTTATAGAATATATAATATTAATTTACATAATATTATATATATGTATATAATTGGGGTGTTTGGGAAGAGTTTTTTTTGATTTTTTTTTTATTAAAATAGCACTAAAAGACAAAATACGTTAAAATAATCAATAAGATAAAATATCACATCAAATTCATAATTATTTCACTTTTTTTCATACAAACATCATATCCAACTATAAAAAAATCTAACTATCTTTCCAAACATAAAAATTTTAGCCTCCTAAAATAGCCAAAAACTAATAGCCTACTAAAATGTATCAGGATCCTCTGAAGTTTCTCTCCTGAAGTGGGGTGATCCAACGGCTCAAAATGTAACTAACCAAAACGACGTCGTTTTGGTTAGTAATTTCAAAAAAAAAAAAAAAATTATTTTCATTCAAAATTCCCTCAGATCTGATATGTGAAGCATTATAGAGGGAGGGAGGGAGCAAAAAGGGTTGAGAGGAAGAGCTTCCGATCCACCTCCGACTTGCCACTGCCACACCGTTGCCGCTACCACGCCGCTGCCCGCCATACTCCAACAAATTGAAGGAAAAAAGCACAGGTTCGTTCATCCTCCAAACTTAAAATATTAGGGTTTTGAATCCAAAAATTAGGAAAAATCTGAACTTGGCTATCGAATGTCAATGTTGACTTTGATTAAAGTTTCTTTAATTTTTTGCTTTGTGTTTTCAAGAAAATCTGGTTTAATAGAGAAATGTGGATTGATTATATGTTTATTTATCTATGCAAATGTGAGCACTAGGGATTGTTTATTTGGCATTAGGGAATGTGTGTTCTCCGTAAATGCAAAATCTAAACGTGTGTTCTTTGCATCATTGGTTCTTTGATTTCTTTAAATCAAAACCTCACATTAGCTAGGAAAGCAAAATTGGATCTGAGGTACACTCTGTCATTCTAAATGTGATCTTGATGTTTATTGCAAATGATGTTTATTCAACACATTTTATATTTTGCTCCATTTGAGGTTTTAATCCAAAATCAATCCTTGTTAAAGTAGTCAACATAAACCATATTACTGATTCTTCTGCTTGAGCTCAACTATCAGCCTAAACATATTAGTTATTATTGATTAAGTTTATGATATGTTTGTTTTGTTGAGCCCTCTCCCTTTGCGTGAGTATCTAATTCTACTTCTGGATTAGTTTATACAAGAATCTTTGTGTATGTAGTGTTTTGTTAATCCAAAGTTGAATCTATGGTGACCCATTTGGTTAATTGCGCTCTTCTTGATGTTATATTGTCAATTTTATGATTTGGGTTTGGATTGGGTGTGTATACCCCTTGTGTTTGCTACGTTGACTTTGTTGCTGTAGGTTCAGCTATGAAATCTTTGTGAATTTGATTACGTTGATGTAAGGTTATGCTTGGATGAGTTGTTAATTTGAACAATGTGGATTAGATTTGGGATAAAGCTGTAAAGTTTGTAACATTTTGTGCCAAAATCTTGGTGGGTTCTATAGATTGGGATTGCTTAAATTGGATTTGTTTCTTATAATGAAGTCTGGCAATGTGCCTTAGTATGGAGTTTAGTTATAATTTGTTTGTTTCTCCAGTTACATTGGTAGCTTAAGGTCATTTAACAGAATGAGGAATGGTTTGATGGTGATGAAACTTTCTATGCTGAAACTTTTGTTGGGATTATTCTTGTGGATTTAATCACATTCCCCTGTAAAATTTATTTTTTTTAATATCAAAACTGTTATTTTATTTTCTTGTGGAGCTGATTTGATAATTGATCTTTAGTGTACCATGTAGTTCTTAAAAGTAATTGTAGTGTATTATTTTGAGGAAAACCCAAATTAGATGGAGAAATCTGATTGATGATATAGATTATGTTATCATTGTGTTACACCATATCATTTTATTTGAGATTTACTTGACTCAATATTTATAAATTCCCTACTCCTATTACCCATTTCATGTACTTATTTACCTTTATAGATGGCAGGGTTCACTCCCATTACCCATTTCATGCGATTTAGAATTTGAGTCCTACTCATTGTTGTTCCATTGTTGATATGTCAGGTAAAAAAATGTCAACATCAAATGCATCTGTGAGTGATATTAGTGAAATTCAGTTTAAAAATCGAAAATGTCGTTGCGAGATAAGAGCAACATTCAGGATTTCAGAGTCAAAGAACAATCCAGGGATGGTATACTTTGTTTGCCCTTCAAACAACACCAATAGATGCAGCTTCTTTGAGTGGTGGATGCCTATACATAAGCAGCGTCAGTGGTTGAAGATGATAAGGGATGAAAGCAACGAAAATTGTAATATCAACCCTTTGGTCAACGAACTGATTGTGTCCAATGATGAGCTGAAAGAGATGGTTACAAAGCTTACGAAAGAAAGTAAACAAATGGTTGTAGAAATTAGACAACTTCGGGAAAAGTTGCACTACGCCATTGTAATAATAACAATGTTATTTGGATTTGGACTTCTTTTGTTGTTTAAATATTAAGTGTAATTTAAATTCGGATTTGGACTTTGCCTTTTGTGAACTAAATATTCTGTGTAAATTAAGTTGGTTGTTGACTTTGTTTGTTTGTTTGGATTCTCGGTTTGGATTGTTGGTATGGCATGTTACTGTTTTTATTTATTTGTGCTTTTAGTTTATGTAAAATCCTCATCATTTGGGGATTAGGTTATGCATTTGTTGTTTTATGAGGTGGTTTTTGTATGCTGGGATTGAAGGAATAGAAATGTACTGGAAGGAACTTATTAGTGTTCTCTTTATTTGGTGATGAAATGAGAAGAACAAGAAACCTTAATGACATCACAACACCACTTCCCTAGTTGAGTACATTTGAAAAAAAAAATTAAATTCAATATGTTTGACGAGTGTAGAAAGAAATCAAATAGGTAAATTTACAATGTTCGCATGACTGATTAGGGGTATAGTTATTTTCAACAAAGTTGGTCTGAATCACATAGGTAAATTTACAATGTTCTCATGACTGATTAGGGGTATAGTTTTTTTCAACAAAGTTGGTCTGAGTTGATTTGGGGGGGGGGGGAAATCAATCAATCTGTCATTGGTGAATGGTGAAATAATCCTTCCTCTAGAACACATGTAATAATTTGAGCACCATTTCAACCAAGTTTGAGCACCATTTCAGCACAACTTTGAGCACCATTTCAACAAAATTTGAGCACCATTTCAACCAAATTTCAGCAATATATCTGCACAAATTTCAGCAATTTCAGCAACATATCAGCACAAATTTGAGCACCATTTCAACCAAATTTTAGCAACATATCAGCGCAAATTTGAGCACCATTTCAGCACATATTTCAGCAACATATCAACACAAATTAAATTTGAGCACCATTTCAGCACATATTTCAGCAACATATCAACACAAATTTTAACAACATATCAGCACAAATTTGAGCACTATTTCAGCAACATATCAACACAAATTTCAGCACCAAAATCTGCCAAGTCTTCAATATTACATATCCAAGAAAATTTTTTACAAATTTCACAAATTTCTATATTCACATGAAAAGTGTTCAATATTACATATCTAACAAAAAAAAAATCAACGCTACAATATTGATATGTGATCCACATTCCTATGCTCTTAGCCACGCCCACGGCCACGCCCATGCCCATATAGTACCTAAAAAAGAAAACAAATATATAAAAGGAACCATAAAATAAAATAGAACTTTAAATGAATGAATGGCAAAATAAAAGAGGAAATGTGAAAAACAAATTACTTGACTACATGCAGGACTATTCAAGGCTTGCGAGTCATAACTGCTTGCGTTGTTAAGCAAGGCTTGATAACTTCCATGGACGGAATACATCGATGGCATTGAAAAAGGCATATTGTGACAAAGAAAACTTGGCTGCAACAATAACAAACACATATCAATTTAAAATGGAACAACATATTTACAAATAAACATAATAAAACTTCTTATTAAACTAACTTACATCATAGGCAAGATACATAAATTGAGAAGACGAAGCATTAACTTGAGGAACACACGTTGAGAATGGAGGAAGTTGATGAGCACTTATTGAAAATAAAGGAGCTGATTGAGGAATACTCGGCGAAAACAAGGGAGGTGGTTCAGGAGCACTCGCGGAAAATAAATGAGGAGGTTGAGGAGCAACAGACATGAGAGTTTGGGAAGCATTATGTGAACTAGGTTGAGGAGCAACAGACATGGGAGTTTGAGAAGCATTATGTGAACTTGTTTTATTTTTCTTTGCCAATGCAAGCTCCAAACCACCTTTTGTCTGCCTTCGTCCCTTGCTAGTGCACTCTCTTCGTTTGAGTCCTTTTGCTTGGACTACATTTGTATCCGCTACACCATCCACTTCAAAGCTTTCAAGGCATGTGTCAGGAGGGCTTTCTTGTTCAATAGTATCTGAAAAAGCCATATTGAATTTTGCGATTAACATGCTTTCAATGTTTGCAATTAAGTCATCCGCTTTCTCTACCGTCAGGTTATGTGTTTCCTCACTTTCGGAAGCTCTACACGCTACTGCTCTGAAAATTGCCATCAATGATCTAACGCGTGAAGTTTGATGCAATCTTACATCAACCTTAATATCATGCCCACACCTATCTTTCACATTTTCAACTCTTGCTTTTTTAGTCCATCTTTTGAGAATATATTGGGAAGGAATCTCTTTGAATTTGAGGGTCTCTCTAAGGATCTTCAAACAATGACTACACAAAATGCCTTTCATTTCAAACTCCCTACAATTGCAAGTGAGTGAATCATCACACTCCACTCTCACCTTCCTCACCTTTGCACCATCACTATCAAGAACCGTATAAATGGTACTCTCACCACAAATTTTAGTTTCTTCAATGTTTACTTCAAGGGACTTGACATACTCATCTTGAAATTCTTCATGAATTTTATTTGTGTAAACATCTGTAGCTTGCTCCATAATCTTCACTTTAATATTCACCCTTGGCAACTTTTGGCATAGAGCATATTCGGCTTGTAACTCTTTGTACCTCTTCTCACAAAGAACTCGATCAAAATGCATGAAAAATTGTATTAAGTTATGATCAGACTGAATGAAATCCTCCAAGAATGCATTAAAGGATTCACTAAGTTGGGTGCTATTCATACCCGCACCCCATGCGTTTCTAACATATGGCCAATCCCATTTTTCCTTGATCCCAAATGTTAACTTCAACCAATGATTATCTCGCATTTCATACTTGTCAAGCATTTTCTCTCATTTTAACATAAAATCATCCTCATTCTCAATGTCGTACATAAATTTGGATAAAACACTCTCCATCCCCTTATCTTTCACCTCCTTATCCTTGAAGATAAAATTTGCATGCCTTAATGCATTTTGCATCAAATACCAAGTGCAAAGGCAGTATTTTGTGTTAGGCATGACAACGGGTATGGCCTTAGCCATTGCAACATCCTGATCCGTAAAAATTGTTTTCGGAGCCTTACTTGACATTGCCTCCTAGAATCTTCTAAAAAGCCATATAAAAGAATCAGTAGTCTTATCATACATCAAAGTTGTGCCAAATATAACAGTTTCCCTATGATGGTTAAATCCAACGAAAGATGCAAATGGTCTATGTGCACTATTTAACTTGTAAGTAGTGTCGAAAGTCACAACATCACCAAATTGCCCATAATCCATGATCATCTGAGCATCGGCCCAAAATATGTTTGTAATCTGCTCCTCACTATCTAATTGGACCGAGTAAAAAAAAGATGGATTCTCCAATGTCTTCTCACGAAAATATTGCAAAATGCTACCTGCCTCCCCATATGCTAAACTCTTTTGCCTCTTCGTTCTCAAATAATTTTTTTGGTACACTTTTGTGAACCCAAGCGACTCCCTTCCACCAGTTTCATTACCCATGAGCTCAAATGCAGCATTAAGTCGGATTCCAGATTTTTAAGCTAAATCTATTTTAGTTGCCTGTGATGCAGATATCTTTTTTTGGGATGGTAACATATGCGTACATTCTGTTGGTACAAAAATATGATTATGTTGTTCAACAAACTCACCAACAAAAAATTTATGAATATTCCTATCCCACTTAATGATAAGTTGGGCTTGACAACCAGTCCTTACTTCCTGCCTAGGATTTTTTGTTAATGGATCTCGCTTGTCGACACCCTGAAATCCCTCCTTATTACAAACAAATAGCCTTGAAGTGATTTGCCCCTCCTTGTTCTTGTTTACATAACCCCTTCTAATACTAAAGCCTAGCCTTCCTCCATAAGCATTATAGAAATTATATGTTTCTTGTTCTGTTTCAAATGTCATGTGAACTCTAGGCTTCCAATCACAATCACCCCCGTCATTCTCAACATTGTTAAGTTCCATATCAATGTGCCAAGTCACTTTAAAAAAAAAAAAAAAAGTGCTCAATATTAGCATAAAAACTGTAAATTATGTTTGCAAAATAATACAAACCAAATAAAAATACTACAAGAATTGAATCATATTAGATTATATAAATAAAGGGGAACAAATCCCTTCAATGGTAAATTATGTTTTCAATGATCCAGATTTAACACAAATTCCTTAATTTTCTTATAATCAACATGTGAATATACAAAATCAAAATTAAACAACAAAAACAAACAAAATAAAGGGATGAATGAAATGTAAAAGATCTAAAATATTTGAAAAATAACATAAGAAAAATTAACATAATACAACTAAAAAGCCCCAATGCACATTCCATCTGATGATGTAAAATGCAACTCCAGACATAACATATAACATTAAAGGAATGCAATTTTTTTTTACATCTTTTGGGTTTTAATATTACACAGTGAAAGAATATCAAAATCCAATGAATTGCTAATTTCTTTTTATGCGCAACATATAATGGAGCAGTCAAAGATACTTCGTTATTAAATAATGTATATAAATAAAAGTATGTATGTGTGTTGGTTTTCATGGTAGTGAACTAAAAGCAGGGAGGAGCCATGGTTTTTGGATTATATATGTATATATCTATATAATTATATATATATATATATGTATAGCTAGTTCAACCAAGAAAATCATGGTTGCTTCCATAAAAATAAAATAAAGTGCAGAGATTGGGGGATTATATATGTATAGATTTGTACAATGTTAAAAATACATCATTAATAACATAAATGTATATGTGAATGAAATATATATGTTAAAAATACATCATCAGATTTGTATAGATTTGTACAACCATTTACAGAATTTGTATTCAAAAGGGACGAATGAAATATTCCCACACCTCAGCGATGGCGGCGATGACTGGACGATGGTGGGGACGACTGAACGGCGGCAACGGCTGGACGACACTCCTACCTCTCTTCTCTCTCTGTCTTCTTCTCTCTTTCTCGCACTTCCGCCACACAACTCTGTTATACTTGAGGGAATAATTGGAATTTTGAATGAAAATAATATTTTATTTTTTTTTGAAATTACTAACCAAAACGACGTCGTTTTGGTTAGTTACATTTTGAGCCGTTGGATCACCCCACTTCAAGGAGGAAACTTCAAAGGACCTTGATACTACTAAAATAGCAACTTTCCAAATACCCACAATATAAACTAATTTTACATAATATTTTTATATATATAACTATTAATTTGTAATAAATTTCACATATTAAAACTCTTTGATACTAATTTTTACTTTGATATTTCATTATAGGTTAAAAAATATATATGTATTAATTATAGCGAAGTGGAGGCGTTTTGAAGACGATTTATAAATTTTCAAGTTTAAATCACAGTTAACGGATAGAGCGGTGTAGATTAATGTAGATCAGTGTCGTTTTAGCGGATTAGGTAGTATTTTGCACAGCCCTATTTCCTACCATCACCAACCACCTGTTCCAATGGAGGGATTTGGTTTTTCATCAAACCTCCAGTTGACTTGGCGAACGATCGGCCAATGTAAAATTTTCACAATGGGACAAGGAACAACATCAATGACCACCTATTCTAATGGAGGGATTTGGTTTTTCATCAAACCTCCAGTTGACTTGGCGAACGATCGGCCAATGTAAAATTTTCACAATGGGACAAGGAACAACATCAATGACCAAAATGATAATCTTCTCTTTGATTAAGAGGCTTCATAGCCATCAGAGCACATGTCAGACGAGAGTATGCCTGACATCAATGGTGATTGTGGGTGTTGTTTTTTGACCACACAACCAAATGGGAAACTCAACTGGAGAGTACCGACAGAATAGATTAAGCCCGAACAACTTGTCACAGAGAGATAAGAATCCGGCGGTGGTTCATCCACCCGGGGGCACTCCGACGATCAAGTCAGTAATCAAATATCTCTCAAAGATAGCAAATTGTGCTTAATCTCACAAGAAAGAACTTACTGCTCACAGTATATCACATATACTTAAGACCCATGGGGGTGCCCTACTTTTATAGCCAACACTAACATGATCCCTGTAGAAGCCTCACTTCAATAGACTCAGGCTCAATGCTCATCCTGGACTCTCAGCTAGATAGGGACAAACTCCCTAAGAGCTTTATTTTTATCCAGACTGAGATCCTCCCCTATTTTAGGACTCTTGTCCCTTATTCGCTCATCTCGGATTCTGGTATCTCCGCAGATAACCTCGGCCTAGCCAAGATCATCTCGGCGCATGACCAGGCCACATGGCATCTCGGCTGCCACTTCGGTATCACCTTGGCCACGTGCTGTCATTTACAAAATATGTCCCCACAACTGCGACCTAGGTTCTATTACCTCGGCAACCTGAGGTGATGGAACCTACATCGCTTATTCATATAGTATGTCGGCTAAAATTCATTCTTCCCTTCGACCGAGGTCATGACACGTCGGTTTCAAGTACCCAAGACTCAACTGTCCATCTTTATCAAGGATCAAGAACCAAGAGTCAAGTTCTTTAAATATCTCAACCGAGATCCCTCCTCTAGCCGAGGTTATGGTATCATTATTTCAAGAATTCCACGAGTTCTAACTATGCATGAGCTGTCACGCATGGCCTTCCCAGCCGTTTCATACACGTGTTCCATTTTCATTAGGTCGTACTTGACACGCACCATAAAGTCACGTTGATTCAATCCACGCCGCATGACAGGCATGTCGCCTAAAGCACCATCAAAACATTTTTTCCGCCCTTTCGTGTTTTTGACAAAGCTCCTCCTTTCTCTCTCTGTCTTTTCACTTCACAAATTTGATTTCCCTCTTTGCTCAAATTCTCTCTCTCTCTACGAAAACCTCCATTTTCATACTTTCAAAGCTTTCTGCAGCCGTGCTCTATTCTGTACCTCCGGCGAAGCATTCTCGTCTGTCTGACTTCGGCAAACCTTACTTCGGTGTCCTCGTTTTCGACTCCAGTCGGTAAGTCCCTGATTTCTATTCGTATTTCTGTTCATATTTTCAAATAACTTGTACTATTCTTCACCATATTGTTTTACATTGTGTCTGTTTAAATACCTCACATGTTGCCATTGAATCCATGTTTTGTTTTTTGTCTATTCTCATGTTCTGGTCATCATGAGTTATTTCTGGTTTCTTGAATCTTCGTTGTGCTTTGAATTTTATCATTTAGAATGTCAAACATGCTTGTTTGCGATTTGTGCTGTTCAATCTATCTATGTGTCTATCTACATTGTCCGTGATTCTTGCACATACATATGCATTGTTCACGTGTTTGATGCTTTAACAATTTGTCACTGCTCTTGACTTTTGCACATTTGCACACATCTACTCAGTGTTCTTGAATCTCTGTTGTTTTCTTGAGTCTAAATCATGTTCTTTTCTTTTTGTCTTGTTTTCCAGATTCTTGCCCTTGCACCTTTGTTTTTGCGCTTAGTTTTTAGGTTTGGGATTTGCCTAGAAACCAAACACTTAGGTAAAACTGAAACAAACTCTCCTTAGATCTTCAAAAACCCTAGCTCCAGTGCTTGTTTAGGATTTAGCTGAGGTCTTTAGAACCATACCAGTCATTTTCTCCTGAAATCTTGCTCCAACTTCACTAAGCCGACATCATGGGTATGTTCAGGTGGAGGGTAGACACCCAAGAAAAACTTGAGCACTTTAGGTGTGAGTTCTATCCCAGCCGATGTCCACTTGAGGTTGGCTGGGAAGGAGGACTTTATCATGCATGATGGAGATTCCATGCCCTTTCCCATTGTTGCATTCTTTAAGTGTGGACTTCGGCTTCCTCTAGACATTCTCTTTTGAGAAATCCCTCACTATTACAAACTCAAACCCATGCAACTTGCCATAAATTCATATAGGGTTATCAATGGCATAATCGAACTAGCACACCGAGAAAAGGCTAGGATCACACTAGCTGACATCCAATTCTGTTATACCATGTGTGGCCTCAAGTCTGAAAAAGGCTACATATATTACCTCAAACCCAGATCCACCGCCTTCAAACTTATAGCCGACCTCCCAGATTCAAACAAGGGTGCAGGAGATGACTATCTGATCGTCTCGAGTAACTAGGAGTTTTCACCAGATGACGATCTTCATCTCTTCCCATTGTGCCGAAGAGTGTTTAAGGAGGGTGATGGTAAGAACTGAGTCATCCATAACTTTACCTTAGTTAAGACTCGTCAACTTATTTGTCGACATTAATGTTTGCTTCTTTGTTTTTGCAGCTCTTCCCCAGCCATCAAAGGACTTCCGCAGGACCTTCTTCCCAAGCCCAGATCTGAAAAAGCTATTGGGCTTGCCTATTGAAAAATGCAAGGCCCCACTATTGCTCAATTACATTCCGACTTACAAGTCTACCCTTCCAGATGTTCCCCACTGAAGCAAGATTCTTCCTTTTGCCACAATTTTACCAGTTACTTCATCACCAAGGCCAGACCAGGCTTCTACATCTTCTCTTGCAGACTGGCCATCAACT